CAAATACAAAATTATCTCATTACTATTTCTAACTTGAAGAATATTTAGGTATGGATTCTCTCTCTTTTGTTGCTTTTTATAATTTGTTTTGTTTTAAAGATATTTGTCTTTTGTTGAATTTTACAATTTCCCCCCCAAAGTACTAGTGGTTTACTTTGGATTTTGTGCTGTAGGAACTACACAAAATTGTTCATTATCTTTAAATGAATGATTTTGGAGTTAAAAAAATTAAGTAAAAGGCAGTAATGCTGCTGTGTGTAGAATGTTCTCAACTATTTCTTCTACATTTGTCAATAGGGGCTGAGTAGTTTAATTTAGTAACAAAATGAATTAACATCACTTTTAAAAAGTTAATAGAATAAATTATCCTCTTCTTTACTAAAGTTTTTACATTGTAAATCTGAACCAAAACAAAAAAATTGAGAGGTTTTATCACACATGCTGTGTAACCCACAGTAAAACAGTCAATTGTCCTTAAAGTTCTTTTTCTACCCTGAGTTCTTCCATCTCTAATAAATACATTTCTTTTTAAACTTTGAAAGACACTGAACACTTTTGAATGAATGACAATTTGAAGAAGGAACTTTTCCTTTTTGGTTCTTGTTCTCTTACATTTTATGAGATATCCTAAACACATAATTATGTTGCATGTGCTTTTAAACTGGGGCTAATTTACACTTTCTCAAAGTTTATAGCCATTGAAAAGAACCACACTAAGACTTCAAATTGCAGGAAGAAACAAAAACTTCCCAAGGCAGTAACAATGAAAAAATAAGCAAACAACAACAAAAACAAATAAAATAAAATTCAAACAAACAAAAAAACACAAACTCCTAAAAAAGCTTTGAAGTCAAAGCTGTCAGGAAATGTACATTTCTCTTTTTCTATATTTCATAGTAACCACCTTTTTGTTGCAAAATTGATTGATTCAGTAGAAATACAAATAAAAATTCTATTTTGATGTATTTACCTCCTATTTTCCAGTACTTTATGCTTTTTCGTTACATTTTAAATGCACTATATATTCTGAAAATTTATCCAAAAGAAGAAAACAATTATATGCCTCAAATGACCTATTTTGTACCATTTACAAAACTAAAAAATTCAATGTATCCAATTATACACAGATAAAAAAGCAATGATGTACATCTATCGGATGGAATAAAAATGTTGGGAAAACAAGGGAAAGTAGATGGTACAACAGTGGTGAAAATTTAAGATATAAAAATTAAGGCGACAAAATGTGAAACTTACAAATAGACAAATGCTGGGAAGAAATATTTAAGAATAAAATTAATTTTGTGCAATGGTAAAAATGTTGTTTTTAGAATCTATTCCCAATTTTTTTAAAATTTTGTTTTTTTCTCTTATACCTCCTCTCATTATTAGTTCACACTGGAGGAAAATGGATCAGAATCCTATCTTTCAAAAGGAGTCAAGTTTCAAAGTTTTTGAATTGAGAGGGGAGTTGAATTCCATCACTAGACCAAACCCTTCTGCAGGAAAAATGGAGGAGGAGGAGGAGGGGGAGGAGGAGGGGGAGGAGGAGATAGGAAGAGTGAGAAGAAACAACAATTTTATTATTATTCAAGAAAGAAAAGAACAATTTATCTTGCAGCATAGTTTTTTACTCTAACACAAACTGAATTTAGCTCTGCGTGGAAGATTCATCTTTCCCAAAAAAGCAATGCAGAAAATAAAATAAAAAATAGACACTGTTAGTTTTGTGTAAAGTCAGTAATAATAACAATAAACCAAAAGCAAGAAAAGATGAAAAGTTAGGGGACTGCAAATCTGGCCATTCCTCTCCCTAACGTAGGAATGTGTCTCCGGAAGGTCTAGCCCTTCTTCCAGATTAATTTTAGGCTCATTCAGAGAGCAGAAAAAAGTAGCCCTGTTCATCACCATTCAGCCCCCAACCCAGACGAAAACAGGTCACTGAGCAGAACCCAGCCCAGTGCTTGCTTCCTGCCTGTCCTGACCCTAATCACACACACACACACACACACACACACACACACACACGCACACACACACACGCACGCACCACCCCTCTTTCGGGGGGGGAAAGGGGGTGTGGAGAGGATCAGAATTCAGTCCAAAAGTTGACTTTAAAATATCAGTTTCAATTGATCAATAATTAATTTAAAAATATTTTTAAAGGCTATTGAAATAAATCATATTTTCTTCCCCCAGTGTTACTTTAAATACATTTCAAACTGGCTAGTTTCAGCTAACATTTAGACTTTTTAAATGTATTTTCTTCTTTTTTATGTATTTTCTTCTTTTCTATATATTTTGCTTTTTCTTTTATATTTTTAAATGGAAAACAACCTAAAAGTGAACTGAATCCATTTGTTTAAAAAAATGTTCCCTTTAATTTTAGCATAGTGAAAGGCGATTTGTCCTGTGTAGTAGTTTAAAGGTCAGTAGGTGTTTCTTTTGGGGGGGGGGGACGCAACTTGCTTTTGTTTGAGAGATAAGAGTAGTAGATAGGTTCCCTAGGGACAAACTCCAGAAGTGCTTTTATCAATTCCTAAAGATTCCCCAAAGGAAGAAAAGAACACTTGCAATTTCTGGGACCTGGGGTACCCTGACTCACTCTCCTCCTTGTTCCCCAACACAACAGAAGAGATTTAAGGAGCCAGGGGCTCCCACTTAGCAAAAGGCCACGGGACACAACAGCCTTTCTGAGATCATTTTTCAGCTTTTCGAAATTCCACACACAAGAAAAAGTCCCCGGACATCAGCCACACACAACATTCGGACGAACAGAGTTTGTTTCTGGACTCTTAATTTCCGGAATCCTCTTTGCAGTTTATTTTAGCTGGCTCTTCATTGACATATTTATTGAGTGCCTACTATGTGGCGGAGCCCGTTTCCAGTTCATTGGATTGGTTCGTTTTAAAACTACGCTTGAGAATCAGCGCCGGGTAAATGCTGAGGCTGAGGGGGGGCCGGAGCGGACGTGGGGCGCAGGCCGGACGCCCCACCTCCCTCACGCGCTCCTCTGCTCGCCGACCACGAGCTCCTAGCATTTTAATTCCTGTTGCTTTGCAGGAAGAAAAATATCATAAAAACAAAAATCCGAGGCGCACGTGGCCGGCCAGGGCACAGGCGGACTAGGGCGGGTGCGCCGGGGCCTCCCCGCCCCCACGTCCCGGCCTCGGTTCTTTCAGCGCCTGGGAAAACGGGGAGGGGACGGAGGTGCCCGCTTCGCCTTCAACTCCCCGACTTTGGGAACGATCTGGGATCGTGCGGCAGGACAAGGGCGGCGAACCGAAGTCGGACCCTGAAACGAAAAATAATCACAAAAAAAGCAATTCGAGGCTGTCGGAGCGGTGCGGGCAACACGTGCTGCGGAGTCGGCCCGGGCGCAGGCGACGGAGACAATGGCGTGGGGCCGGGGCCGGGAGGGAGCCCTCCCCCACCTGTCCCCCGACATGCGCGCTCAACAGGCTCCAGCCGGGCTGCGGGACCCCGCATGCCCGGGGGCGACCCCCTCTTCTGCAGGTCACGGGGCTGGGGGGCTCCGGGGTCCCCGGGCGCGCCCCGCCGCCCGCCCCTCCTCGGCTTCGCCCCGCGCTCACCGCGGGGACCGGGTGCGGTGCAGCGAGCGCCCCGCGCTCCGCCGGGGACAGCGACACCGCCGCGCCCCTCCCCCACGCCGGCGCCCACGTGCCATCCCGGTCCCAGGCGGGTCCCGCCGGGGCTCCCCGGGCCAGAGGATCCGGAACGCGCGGGGCGCGAGGACCTGGGCGGATCCGCTCCCCGGCCCGGCGCGGAGGGGAGGGGCCACCGCCCGCCCCGCCCCCCGCTTCCCCCGGGCCGAGCGGAAACCGCCCCTCCCCCCGCGGGCTGACCTGGGGACGTGGGCGGGGCCTGCCGGCCCCCGGCCCGCCCGCTCCCGCCTCGCAGCACCGCACCCCAAACAAAGTTCGGAGGCCCCGACCCCGCGCCCGGCCCCCACCTGGGCGCCCCGCGTCGGGCCAGGAAGGCTCCCTGGGCACCGCCGCCCGTCCCCCCCTCCCGACGTCGCCCCAGGCTTCGCCGACCACCCCCGCGCCCCTTCCCCGCGCCCGCCCCCCTCGGTCCCGGGGTCACTCGGCGGGAGCCAGGGTCGCGCGGGACCCCGTGGTGCTGCCCGTTCGTGGCGTGCCCGGATGCCAGCGACTTGTCCTTGTGGGGCCCCCGGCCCCGGTCCCCCCACCCGGATCACGGCTTCCTGGTCCCGCGCGGTTCGGTCCCGCGTCCCAGACCCCCGGGGGCGGGGAGTACCGTGGGGGAGGGGAGCGAGGGGCGGGGACCCCTGCTCTCGAATCTGGGAAAAGGCGCCTTTCGGTTTAAATCGCCAGCTCGAGCGACCCCCTCTCGAAGACCCCATAGTCCCCGGCTTCTCTTTGTCTCTCCGCCGCCCCCCGCCTGTCAGTCGCCCGCCGCTAACCGGGGGCGGGGTGCGCCACGCAGCCCCCTAAAACGAATAAAAAGTACCCGTGCATTTCACCCTGGAGGACCCGGCAAGGGGGTCCCGGCTGCCTCCCCCCAGGTGGGGGTGGGTGGGGGAGGATTGGGGGCGGGGCGCTGCTCCCCGGCAAGGTCTGGGCGAGGGGGAGGGGGCGAGGGGCTCTCGGGTACGGCGCCCGCGGTCCCCCTGCACCCTGGGGCCGAGTTGGGGACCCCTTCCTTTCCGAGACGGGCGATTGCGGGGCTCGGCGGGCCGGGAGCGCGGAGAGGGCGGGAGGCGTCGGGGGTCTCCCGGTGCCGACTGGGTGGGGGCTGTCACCACGTGGCTTCGGCCTTTTTTTTTTTTCCTCTCCATTTTTTTTTTTTCAAGTCGATTTTATTTAGAGGCGGCGCCAGGTCGGCCGCGGAGAAACGTGACACAGCCCGCTCGGAGGGTCCGGACCGCTGGGAGAAGGCGCCGCCGCGTCCCCGCTCCGCCCCGCGCTTCGCCGCCGCCCCGCGCGCCCAGGCCGCGCTCCGCCCGGGCCCCGCACACTGTCGCGCGGGGTGCGAAGAAAGTTTGCGGCTCGGCTGCCCGCGCCCGCGCTCGGCCTCGCCCGGGACGACACCGCCACCATGAACAAGCTATACATCGGCAACCTCAACGAGAGCGTGACCCCTGCCGACCTGGAGAAGGTGTTCGCCGAGCACAAGATCTCCTACAGCGGCCCGTTCCTCGTCAAGTCCGGCTATGCCTTCGTCGACTGCCCCGACGAGCACTGGGCCATGAAGGCCATCGAAACTTTCTCGGGTAAGCGCACGGCGAGCCCCGGGACCGGGGGCCCCGTCGCTCCGCTGGCCGCCTACTCCTCTTACCCCGCTGCACCCTGGGGTGCGGGCCCCCCCACTCCACACCGATCGCCCCCTGCGCCCCGCAAAGCACCCGGTGTCTTCGCCCTTCCCCCAGCCCCAGATGAGGAGCTCGGGGTTCCCTTTGCCTCCTCTCCCCTCGACGGGGCGGGTGCCCTGGTTGGTGGCCGAGGAGGTGGTTTTCTGCACCCCCAGACGACCCCGATTGGGGCGTTATCGCCACGTCCAGCCCCTCCCTGGCCGCCCTCGACGGCCCCCCAGCTTGGACACCCCAGGTCCCCTGCCTCGCTCTTAGGCCTTTCCAGACCCTCCCCCCGCCGTCTTAGATTTCCCCGCTTTCCGTGGAGACTGCACCCCTGGGGCAGCGCCCAGGAGAAAGGGGCTCCCGCGTCCCGCCCAGGGCCCGGGGCTCGAGCCATTTTGATTTGAAAGTGGGGCGTGAGCGGGGTGGCGCGTCGGCTCGAGTCGCCATGCTGCTTCCGAGACGCCGCGGCCGGCCGGAGTCGCGCTCGTTGCGCCCGCAGAGACCCTCCCGCCCCGGCCCCCCCCCCGCACGCCCCGACAGGTGCCCGCCCCGCCGGCCCCACCTTCGCGGGGCTGGGACAAAAAATAAAGTTTTGTTCTCCACCCGACCCACGGCCTCTCTCGGAGGAACGGGGAGCCGTGGAGGCCGGGCGCGCACACAAACGCCCTCGCACATTTCCAAAGTCGAGCTCGCAGAGCGATCCACACACTTCGTTTCCTTGATTAAAACGAAAACTGAGGAAACGAATTCGTAGGTTCCACCGTTCCTAGAGCAACCTTTTCCCATTGGCCTGGAGGACCGCAGGCTGGATTCCTAGGACGAACTGGAATCCCAGAGCTCTGGGGTTTCCCTTCCCCTTCCTCCCTCACCCCAGTCACTCCTTTATACCCAGGCTCTTTTTAAAAAAAAAAAAAAAATCTTTTTCAATCTTTAGGGAAAGTGGAACTGCAAGGAAGACGCCTAGAGATTGAGCACTCGGTCCCCAAAAAACAAAGGTAGGAAAGAACCCTTCCGAGGGGGTGGGAGATGTGTTCAGGGGTCCATGGCGACTCCGGGGAAGAAACGCGCTACGGGCCTTCCCACCCCCAACTCCGGATGTTGGGGCCTGGGAGGGAAGACGGCCAACATCTTGGAATGACTGGTTGTTGGGGGGGGGGGGCGAGGGAGAAAAAAGTTTGGGCTGAGGTAAGCTGAAAGATGTTACTTGCAGAATTAAAGGGGGGGGGGATCAATGGGATGTAGAAATCTTAAGAGTGTTCTCAAAGTGTGGGGCCATTTTTGTGGGGAAGCTTAAAATCTTCGGAGTTGAGATTCATGGCTGTGGCAATTCGTTCCACTTCTTATCAGGCCTCGTATTCTGCCTCCCACCCCGAACCATAATTGCAAAGTGGATTTAGGGTGTTCCTTTTCCAAATCCCAAGGGGATATGGATCGAGACCCACCCACCCCCCCCACCCCACCCACCCCACCCACGCCAAGAATCTTATGTTGTGCGTTACTTATATTTCTGTAACGGGCAAAGACACGATGTATGTGTATACATGTGTATATATATATATATGTTTGTGTGTGTGTGTATATCTGTCTGTCTATATATATATGCCAATATGTGTGTATATTTTCCCCTTACCCCCCAGTCCCTGAGGTCTTACACCGTCCCCTCCCCAACTGGATTTTTCCAAGAATCTGCTGTGGCCGCCCTCGCCTTTAGGACCCCCACCCCCACTCCTTTAGCCCATTGTTACAAGCAGACCATCTGGGGTTAGAGCTTTGTTCAGGCTGTGGGCTGGGGCTCTTTGGAGGGTCTAGAACTCCGTGGATGAATGGGGTGTGTGTGTGGGGGGGGGTGTTCCAATACTCTGTCCTCTCCAACAAAATGGGGTACGGCTATCATGCTTGCCAAAAATTCATGGTGGGTTTCAGATCTTTCATGGAACTGTGCCTGCCTTCTCCCATCAGACTTTAAATACATTGACAGTGCAGTTTTCTCTCCTGTCTTGTAAGCAGCTCCCAGAAATCTTTGATCCCCTCAACCTTCAACCCTAATTTCCACTTCCAGTTGGCCCTGTAGAATAATCGAGCGTTTTCTGAGTGGCAAAGGTGGGGGTGGGTGACTGCCTTTTTTTCTGTTTTTTTGAAAAGCTGTGAAAGGATCTAGTAGAAAGTTTTAACTCGAGATCATCTGTTTGGTCATTTATTTTGTGATATTTAAGTAACTGGAAACTGTATCCATAGATGATCAATATGGCTTGTTACTGTGTTTCTAGAGCTCCTGATCTGACCTCAAGTGTTTGAAATACTCTTATTGGAAAGGTACTAGATTTAGGAGTAAAGAGGCAATAAAATTTGAAAGGGGGGGGTCTATTTCAAAATATTTTCTGGGACCTGCCTTGCAAGCGCAAGGTCCCGAGTTCGATCCCGGTACCAAAAAAAAAACAACAACACACAAAACATTTTCTGTAGATGAAACTAAGAAACGAACTCAACACCAATAGATATATTGAACAGTGGATATTTGAATTGAAATCTGGGTGTTGATGAGAAACATCTCTTCATAATTGGAATTCTGGATTATGTGAACATTTTTCCTTTTGCTTTTGAGAATGGTTTAAATTTTAAAGGGAATGAAATGAAAAGCAAAGAGAAATTGCAAAATGTGATGAAATGGAACTCAAAACATTTATATTTTAATTTTCACGGTGCCCTGTATTTGTGGATCTTTTTCCTCAAGCCGTCTGCTTGCTTTTAAGCCATTTCTGGGCTCCTTGTTCCCTCCAAAATGCATTACTGAGGGCTCCTTTGAGTTGAAATGGGGAGGGGTGTCTTAAGAGAAGACCGGGTTAAAAAAAAAATCCTGTTCCACATCCATATTAAATTAGACCTTTTGTGTGTTCTTCCCTTTCCTGATATACTTTTTGAGTCCAAAAATTGATTCAATTGTTCTTTTCTTTTTTTTGCGGGGGGGATGCTACTGGTGAGAAGGGTCTTCATTTTTCTAGCATGAATCAGTTTTTTAAAAGACACTCAAGGTTTAAAAAACAAGAGTTTATTTTCATTAAGTCAGTTTGCTCTATCATTTTGTGTTGTGAGGAAGCTTGTGGTGTGTGTCTTCAGTCAGTGTCTGAAAGTATTCTTTGCCTTGGGCTTGTTACTGGCTTTTTAAATCTCGGAATGAAAAAACTAGTTATTTAAGGCTAACAGTCTAAGCAAAATGAGCACATAGGTATTTTGTGTGTATATATTCTTCAGTTTCCACTCTTTAAAATAAAAAACTTTCCTTGATGAAAGTTTCAGAAGAGTTATGATTTAAATTTCTAAGAGTCTCATAGTACCCAACAACCTTAATATTCTTGTTTTTTTTTTCTTTAAAATGGGTGAAATCAAAAAAAGATATATTATAGAAGTTACTTTTGATCAGCTCTGATTTAAAAGTATTAATATATTTTGTCATTTCAAAGCCATTTTGATAAATACAGCTTATATTTTTTAAGAAGTCACATGACAACATTATATTTAAGCCAAAAATAGCAAATAATTTGCGTTTTTTAAATGGGTAACATTAAATTTCTGTCACTTTCCCAAACCCCTTCTTAGCCAGTGTTGGAATTTGATTAACAGTTTAGACTTTTTATTGAGCATTTACATAAACACATGTAATCAGTGTCCAGTATTGGTACCTAACAGAAAAGCCAAAAGCATTTTGAAAACAGTTGTGGGGTTTGGATGTGTTTACTTTTGAGAGACCAAAGAGTAGTAAGGTGGGGGAATGATCTTTGTGAGACTTGTTACTGAGGGAAATTATTTGTTTTGTAATAATTTGTAACTTTTGTTACACTTGCCACTGTGGGGTATGCCTTTTTCTAGAGGAATGTGATAGTGTATTTACTGTCAACTGGTGTCATCGAAATAAAAGATGTCACTTGAAAAAAAATAAAAGTTGCCCTGCATTTTTCTAGGTGGGAATATATTGAAGGTTGACAGTCCTAAGTTTGGTGATTTCTTTGGGTTGATAATCGTAGTTCTGTCCTTTAGGTTGACTTAAAACGTGGTGGGTTAACATATTTCCCTACATTTCCAACTAGCAAAATAAAAACTAGCCTCTTCAAAGACAATGTGTCCTAACTTTATTCTCAAGAGTTATATTTTCTGATGCTAGTGGGTTTTAAAAAATCTGAAAGTTGTCTTGTAAATGGTAAACAAAAAAAATTGCAGTTTTAAAAGATGATTTATAGGTATTGTGAAGAACTCACTGGCTCACAGAATATTTTCAAAATAAGCTCAAAAATTTACCTCTAGGAATAATTTTCCATTTGGTGAAAAAAAATACAAACTTGTCGTAGTTAGAGGCTGAAAATAAAAGGAATGGGGTTTAAAAAACAAGGGAATGAAAGGTACCAGCAGAGATAGATTTTCAGGTACTTTCTTTAATGGTTCTAAGAAGAGATTAGCAAAGAAAGTTGACAACTCATGTAAGGTGAGAGATGTAACTAACTTTGGTCAACACTTAGGACTCTTAGTAAAAAGGCTCTTCTATTAGGTTACCTTTTTTTTAAAGTGAAAAAATGGTTAGTTCTTAAATTTTTGTTTATTTTTGCAGAAAATATTGGTTCATTCTGTCATTTCTAACTTCCATCTAGCAATTGAACTTTATAAGTATAATTGATTTTTCTTTATTGCTAGAAAATCCGTAGTTTCTTAATTTGGTGGTCAGTATTTCAAGAGGAGACCTTCCTAAGGACAGTGTATTTGTCCTGTAGCCGCATCGTGGGTTTCCATAATCCTTGATTTTCTGACCCAAATTAGAAACATGAAATTGAGCTGTGATGTTCTCAGATGGAGAACTTTTTACTATTGAAGGAGGAGAACTACAATCGCAGTTCCCATCACTAAATCATTCAGAGTATAGCTAACTCTTCCAAATGTATAGTTTTTATAGTTTTAGCGGCAGAGCTTTTGGTAGAAAACAAGACAAAACATTCTCATAATTACGTTTCAGAGATGAAATTTATAACACTTGCAATTGGAAGACTCTTTAATTCAAAGATTCTGAGCTTCTAATCTTTTTTTTTTTTTTTGCTTCTAATCTTTTAAAATTACCTTAATATATATCATTTGAATCTGGCCTTGTATGTGTGTATACTTATAAAGTTTGTTTTGTGAGTTTATTTATTCTATAATATGTGCCAGGCAGTTGACACACTGAGATAGGCTAGTGTGTACACACTTTTAAAACATTTTTAAAATTTCACATCTGGTTTAGTTGAATGAAAAAGGGAAGACTAGCAAATGCTAACTGCTGAAGTTCAGCAATCGGTGCTGAAGAGACAGGCATTGGCTGTACCTCCACCGATTGGGGTGGTGGGATCTTTAAAATGAATGATTGAAGTGAAGCAGAGGCATTTAAAGAACTGATGTTTTCAGCTGTTAGAATTTTAAATACAATCTTTTTTCACTCCCCTCTCTTAAAAGATTCTTAAGAGGGGCTGGAGATTTAGTTCAGTGCTTCCGCCAACTGCCTCCCAAGGGCAAGGTCCTGAGTTCGATTCCCCAGTACCAAAAAAAAAAAGATTTTTAAGAGGTGGCTGGTGCATTTCAGAAAGTGCAGCTTAGGTTTTGGGATGGGGGTGCCAGGGAGGAAAAAGGGGAACCCTGGGAGGAGCCGAGTGGAGGATCAGGTGCATTTCCCGCTTCCTTTTGAAATAAAGAGGAGTCTCAGGGACCCGGCAGGGTCTGCCCAGGGCAGGGCTATCTTTGTGTACAGAATTCACCTCCTCCCTTCCCTGGTAAGATTGAAAGAGAAAAGGACAAGCGGAGAGTGGCAGCCACCTTGGCACTGCAGGCGCTTCCTGGGAGCCCCCCTCAGCTGCCCACCTTCCTCTTGCGAGGTCCTTTCCCAGGGTCCCCAAGACTCAGGGCCCTTGGAACACAGATCCCAAACCTAAGCAGCACCCCTTGGCCGAGGGGTCTCCCTGCTTCCCACCCTTGGGCAAAAGGC